CCTTTTTCACAGGCCCAAACTCCACACCCCAGAGGACAAGGGGCAGCCTAAGAGGATGGGAACGCCCCCTCTCGTGGGAGGTGCCCCTTCTGTTTTCATTTACAGCTGGGGAAATGGGGCTCCAGATTTTGAGGGGGCACAGTCACATCTCAGCAGACTCTCCTGGGTGAGGACGGAAGCTGGGTATCTGTGCCTGTCGGGTTATCTCTGGTTCTGGGATTCCACACACCGCCCCCACGCTGGACCTTACCCTGATTCTCTAGAGTGGCTCCATGCTCTGGCGGGGAGGGGGAACAAGGTCAGTCTGCTTTACTCCTGAGCTGTGAATATTCTCCAGCTGGAGGGGCCTCCTTGGGCTCCCAATTCCTCCCCATGCTTCCCAGAGCCCTATTTGGGTACAGTGGGAGGCACCAGCCACTCCCCCTCAGTCCCTAGCTCAGTCTACATTCCCCCTAGAGGCTCTGAAATTGTCTACAGGGCAGACTGACCTGGGGGTATCACAGGGGTCTCCCTGACATAGTCCTGTGTCTGAAACTCTGTCTCCATCTCTGTCTTGGGGCTGGCCCATGGTGTCAGTGAGAAGGGGGTCCCCTCCTTTCCCCAAGACTCCCATCTCAGCTCCTGCTTTTCCCAGACCCAAGGATCCTGGGGGCAGATCCTGAAGAGGAAGAGCCCTTTGAGAGCTCTCCCTGTGTGGCTTCAGGGACCCCTCACCCTTCACTACCCATCGAATTTGCAGACATGGGTCTGGATGTGAATGGGAGTTGCCAACAGAACTGGTTGTTGCAGCAAGTAGCCTGCTACCGCACAGAATGTGCTAGCTGTTCCCAGCACCCCTGCATTCTGGCCCCCAAGCTTCCATTTTTGAGTCACGGGGAACCTGAGCCTGGAGCCCACTCCTATCCCAGGTCAGAATGGAAGCATTCAACACTGAAAACTATAGAGAGCTAATGAAAGAAATTGAAGAAGACACACAAAAAAGGAAAAATATTCCATGCGCCTGGATATGAGGAAGAAATATTGTTAAAATGTCAATACTACCCAAAGCAATCTAAATATTCAATACAATACCTATCAAAATAACACCAGCATTCTTCACAGAGCTAGAACAAACAATCCTGAAATTTGTATGGAACCAGAAAGACCCTGAATAGCCAAAGCAATCTTGAAAAAGAAAACCAAAACAGGAGGCATCAAAATCCCAGACTTCAAGCTGTATTACAAAGCTGTAACCATTAAGACAGTATGGTACTGGCACACACACAAAAAAGACACTCAGATCAATGGAACAGAATAGAGAACCCAGAAATGGACCCACAAACGTATGGCCAACTAATATTTGACAAAGCAGGAAAGAATATCCAATGGAATAAAGACAGTCTCTTCAGCAAATGGTGCTGGGAAAACTGGACAGCGACATGCAGAAAAATGAACCTGGACCACTTTCTTACACCAGACACAAAAATAAACTCAAAATGGATGAAAGACCTAAATGTAAGACAGGAAGCCATCAGAATCCTCGAGGAGAAAGCAGGCAAAAACCTCTTTGACCTTGGCTGCAGCAACTTCTTACTCAACACGTCTCCGGAGGCAAGGGAAACAAAAGCAAAAATAAACTATTAGGACCTCATCAAAATAAAAAGCTTCTGCACAGCAAAGGAAACAATCAGCAAAACTAAAAGGCAACCGACGGAATGGGAGAAGATATTTGCAAGCGACACATCCGATAAAGGGTTAGTATCCAAAATCTATAAAGAACTTATCAAACTCAACACCCAAAAAACAATCTAGTGAAGAAATGGGCAAAAGACAAGAATAGACACTTCTCCAAAGAACACATCCAGATGGCCAACCGACACGTGAAAAAATGCTCAACATCATTCATCATCAGGGAAATACAAGTCAAAACCACAATGAGATACCACCTCACACCTGTCAGAATGGCTCGCATTAACAACTCAGGCAACAACAGATGTTAGTGAGGATGCAGAGAAAGAGGATCTCTATTGCACTGTTGGTCAGAATGCAAACTGGTACAGCCACTCTGGAAAACAGTATGGAGGTTCCTCAAAAAATTAAAAATAGAACTACCCTACAACCCAGCAATTACACTACCAGGTATTTATCCAAGGGATACAGGTATGCTGTTTTGAAGGGGCACATGCACCCCAATGTTTACAGAAGCACTATGGACAATAGCCAAAGCATGGAAAGAGCCTAAATGTCCATCGATGGATGAATGAATAAAGAAGATGTGGTATATATATGGTATATATACATACCACACACACACACACACACACACACACACACACACAATGGAGTATTACTCCATTAGTATTACTCCAAAAAGAATGAAATTTTGCCATCTGCAACTACGTGGATGGAACTAGAGGGTATTATTTTAAGTGAAATTAGAGAAAGACATCATATGACTTCACTCATAGGAGGACTTTAACATACAAACAGATGAACATAGGGAAGGGAGGCAAAAATAACATGAAAACAGGGAGGGAGACAAAACATAATGGACTCTTGAATAGGAGAACAAACAGAGGGTTGCTGGAGAGGTGGGAGGGGGTATGGGCTAAATGGGTAAGGGGCATTAAGGAATCTACTCCTGAAATAATTGTTGCATTATATGCTAACATGGATGTAAATTAAACAAACAAACAAACAAACAAAAAGAATGGAAGTGCTCAGAGCCCAGGACTCTAAGGAGTGATGAACCCAGGCCATGGGCAGCAGCCAGCCCAGAGACCCTGATACCATGGGAGGGCCTGGGTACCTCCTCCCCTCACAGAAAGCCATTTCTCCACTTCTGACCAAACCCCAAACCTGCTTCTCCTCTCTCTTGAGAGCACGTGTGTGCACACACAGGCACAAACACAGACACAGACACGGACAACTCTTGGCCAGCAACTTATGGCAGAGCTTTTCTACCTAATTAAGTCACCATTCCCACACTTCTGTCTTAGGAGGGTGATTCATTCTGCTAATACCTTAGGATCTTTTTACCTGTGTTTTTGAGAGATATTGAACTGAAATCGTTCCTTTCTCAAAATTTACTTTTCAGGAGCACCTGGGTGGCTCAGTTGGTTAAGCATCTGACTTTGGCTCAAGTCATGATCTCCCGGTTGATGACTTAGAGCCCTGCATCAGGCTTGCTGCTGTCTGCACAGAGCCTGTTTCAGATCCTCTGTGCCCTTCTCTCTCTGCCCCTCCCCTGATCATGCTCTCTCTCTCACAAATAAATAAACATTAAAGTTTTTTTTTACTTTTCAGGTTTTGCAACCAGGCTATTCTGGTTTCCTAACACATTTTCTATTCTCTGGAGGAGTTTATGTAAGATTGTCATTAATATTTTTCTAAAGTGTTTAGAAGGATTTGCTAATGAGGTGAGCTGAGCCTATAGATTTTTTTGATGGGAAGATTTTAAACCATAGATTCTATTTCTTGTGTCAGTTTCAGTAAGTTGTGTTTTCTAAAAGGTTGTCCATTTTATCCAGATTTTCAAACTCACTGGCACAGAGTGTTCATAATATCTATGGGCTCTGTAATGATGTCTCACTCTTTTCCATCCTAATGGCTGAGGTGGGGAGAACAAAGATGGACTTCCAGGCAATGGAACAGCATGAGCAAAACCCTAGCACAGCGATTCAATCAGCAGGTGGACCCCCCACCCCCGTCTGTTTGGATATTTGAGGCATATGCCCCAAGGATATAGGGGGACCCAGTACCAGGTCCTGCTGATACTGGATAGGCATTTGTGGGCAGAAGTGGCTGCCATTTGATTGGATGGTTCCATCTGGGGTCCCAGAGACAGCCTGAAGAGAAACCTGAGTTATGCTGTGGCCTGAAAACAAGGCCACGGCAACCATCCTGCAGGCTCCCTCTGCACCATTAGAGTGCCATCTCTTGCTGGCTGGTATCTCCATCAGGTATGCTCACTTGGATGCTCACTTGCTCCTCTACCAGCAGGACCCAGCACTGCTTGAGAGCCCAGTTTATAATTACCACCTGGCCCACCCATCCAACCTTATGCCAAGCTCGCTCTGTCAGCACAGTCCTGACCGCTCTGGCCTCCAGCTCAGACCCCTGCCCCTTTTCTCGATGCCCCCACATCCACCTGGCTCTGCGATATGCTAAAAGCAGATATCATTGTGGGCCAGCTCCTCTGGCTTGGATCAAGCAAGGACCTATCCAGACAATGGCTGGGACTCTCCATAGGCTGAAGCATAGCTGGCCATGCTCATGCTGCTATAGGGCCCAGACACACCCACAGGCACATAACACAGAACCAAAGAGGAATGTGTCATCACTTTAAACTCAAAACTTAGGGGCACCTGGGTGGCCCACTCAGTTAATCATCTGACTTCAGCTCATGTCATGATCTCATGGTTCGTGGGTTCAAGCCCCACATCGGGCTCTGTGCTGACCGCTCAGAGCCTGGAGCCTGCTTCAGATTCTGCCTCTCTCTCTCTCTCTCTCTGTCTCTCTCTGTCTCTGCCCCTCCCCTGCTTGCACTTCATCTCTGCCTCTCAAAAATGAATAGACATTATAAAAAAATTTAAACTCAAAACTTAAATCAACAAATAGTGCTTCTTCACCTCTGAACAGAAGTAGGAGTTCCCCACTAGGAATGACTCATTTCTTTTCACTGACCCTTATCTGTGTGTGTTATCTTCAATTTCAACTTTATGAAATAGGACTCTGGTGTTTTTTAAACTGTCCAATGTGACTGCCACTTTGGGCAATATTGAAATGGGAGCTTGGGGCTGGAGCCTCAGGGAGGGGGTCCCTCCGGACAGCACCCAGTGGACTCAATCATGTACGTCTATTCTTGACAACAAAATGTTTTTGAGAACTAAATGTGGGCACGCTCTGTGGTACTCATCATGCAACACGTTGCTGCTGCAGGAGCTCATAAATTAGGTACAAGAAATAATTTTTATCTGGCCAGGCATTGGGGACCAGCCCTGAACGGAAAACAGCACAGCTGGCTGTAAGACAGAACTTTATTTCTAAATGGAGCTGGGAATGGGTCTGGTAAGGGTATGTCTGTCCCCTGAAGTGCTCTGGTGCCCACCCCCGGCCCCAACAGCTGCTGATGAGCCTGGGAAAGGACAAAAAGTGGGTCTTGGGGGTGGGCTGTTTGAAGTGAGGGAGGTCCCAGGTCTCCTTTCCAGGCAGGCCTCCTTTAAGAAGCTGGCTGCGGATGGCCCGGAGCCGTGGAGGCTTCTCACAGAGCCGCAGGCCAGCTGCCTGGGTTTTGGGGCTGCAGCACCACGGCGGCCACCTCATAACCCAGGAGGACAGTCAGAGTGAGGAACTCGATTTGGGAACACCCTCGGCCCTCTGTCTCCTCCAGCTTGAGCACCTGGTGAAGGAGAACAGGTTGGGCTCCAGGAAGGGGCTTTCTGGTGCTGGCTGGAAAGGGTGTTGCTCCCCGGCCAGGGACCCTGCTCCTCTGTGCGGTGGCAGTTCCTGGGGAGGCACTTAGAACACGGGGTAGAAGGGCAGCTGTCCCTGTCCCACAGCAAGGGCCCTCCAGGCTGGGTCCCTTGTTCCTCCCTCCCTTCCCTGTCCACCCTTGGACCCTTAGGGAGGAACCAGCCCAAGCCCACCCCCTTTCTGTCCCCTGTTTTTATCTCGGCCCCTGTCTCTATGCTGTCCCACTTCCTCCCTATTCCTGCCCATCATCTGTCGTTTAACTCCCTGTCTGTCCTTCAGGCACCCACATTTTATCTGTCTTTCCCTTTCTCTGTGTCTCTCCGACTTCTCTTGATGTCTGCCCCCACCCTCTTCCCTTTCCTCCTCCACTCTCCCCACAAACTCCAACAAGAGGCGGCTGCAACCTTGGAGCATGCTCTCCAGGCTGTCCTGGCTTTTGGCATTGGCATCCGGGATGGGAGCGGCAGTGGCACTGGGGACGGGGACCACAGGGAGCAGCAGCAGCAGCAGGACCAGCGGGAGCCACATGGCTTGGCAGGTAGGACTGGCGAGGCAGTGAGGGCTGGGTGGTCCGAGCCCCTGCCCTTTGTCCAGGCACCGCCTCCCACTCTGCCCACCTCCCTCTCCCCGACCCCCCCCCCCCACCCCGAGTCCTGGCCCTCAAGCCTAAGCCTCAATCACGCCTGACCTGATTGAGGAAGACCTGCCGGACTTCCCACCACCCTCGTGTCCGCCCGCAGCCAGGTCAGTGGCCTCTGAGAGCTGCCCCTGGATCTACCTACCCCTTCTCCAGACGGAGCCACGCCCCCTGCCGACCACGCCCAGAACGACCCCCACCTTTGGCCACGCCCCACTCATTGTTACACACACCCAACGATTCGCAGTGACCACGCCCCCAGGACACGCCCACACCCCTAGAATCAAGGCAAACTTCCACCCGTTGGCCACTCCCTGATCACAGCAGGCCACGCCCCAGGCCAGAGCCACGCCTCTACTTGTAGAGCAAGGACCCTGGAGTGTGGGGGCCCTCCTGTGTTCCGCTCACAAAGCCCTGTGCCTTCTAGGTCCTTGGCCTTCCAGTTTGTCAGGTTGGGGAGCCCTTCCCCCACTGTGGCCTGGAAGGTCTGTCCAGGCAGCACGCTGGGCACCCACGGGGACCACATCCTGTGCCCACTGTCCCCATGGCATGACTTTCTTTTGTCCAAGTTTTCAGTTGAATCAGGAGAGTAAATCTGGTTCCTGCTTCCTCACAATGCCTTATAATAATGGAGGATGACAAATCATTACCATTTGAGGGACGGCCTCTTTATAGAAACATAGAAAATTTTATCTTCAGTATTCTTACATTTCACTTTAATGAAGTATGGATATTTCCATATCTTTCCTGTTTGGAGCACCAGATGTTCTTTTCAGGTCATTTTGGTTTCTTTGGGGGGGGGGGGGGGGGGGGGGGGGGGGG